TCCCTGTTACATCAATTAAGACAATTTAAAGTGTAAATGTCTTTATTTATATGAAGGGAACAAAATCCATGTAGCCGGGGACAATTCAAAATATAAAAATGTAATGGAATATCATTTATTTTTTATTTTTTAACCTTTATTTAACCAGAAAGAAAACTCATTGAGATTAAAAATCTTTTTTCCAAGAGCGTCCTGGCCAAGACAGGCAGCAGCACAGTTAACAAGGTTGCAGACATTAAAACATATAACAGTAAATAATAGTACTTTAAAAGCAACCAGTGAAACCGGCTCCTGAAGATTCAGGACATTTTGCAGCTGATTCAAAGCGCAGGGGGCCGCTGATTCAGTCCGGACTTGAGGGCCAGATAGTAGTAAGAAGTCATCAGAACAAAGACAATATCTTCCTGTGCCTTTCTTTTTGATGGAGGTTTGTAGGAATGGGGGAAGCAGAGCAAGAATAGCCTTATAAACAAGAATGTGCCAATGATTAAGTCTACGGGTGGACAATGCAGACCAACCAACCCGCTCATATAAGGAGCAGTGATGAGTGTCATGAAGTTTGTGATGAGCCTCAGAGCTCCGTGGTAAACAGTAATAATAATGCAGGATTCAGTAGCTTTTTTTGGTTGCTTAAGTTACTTTCTCGGACAATGCGCATGTGTTTCTTCTAGATTATAATTGCACTGCATGTTTTTTTTTATTGTGCAAATAAAAATTCTCAAAGCAATTTCATTTGTTATTTAAAAATTTCTTGTTGCAAGCTATTTTTTTTTTAGAACATCTTTAACAAATATGCTTTCAAAAAGTGATGCGGACAAAATGAGCCAATTCAAAAAGTGGTGGGGACATGTCCCCAGCGTCCCCACTGTAAATGACACCTATGGATTTGTTGATTGTATTTTATTAATCTGATTCAGCAAAGTAACTACAGATAAAATAAATGTGTTTTTTCCTGAAATGTAGAAAGGAGAAAACAATGTACTCAAAAAGCCTCAAAATTGTACTTAAGTCCAGTACTTTAGTACTAGACTCTGTAACTCATTGTTGTTACAGAAAAAGGTAAAGATGTTCTGTCTTAATGTGGCTTTCCAGGTTTAATTTAAGAAACAGAAAATATCTTTATTTCAGGTTATGTTGTTCAGATAAGATCTAATAATTTCAGGTTTAATCTCCATTTAAAAGCTCGGCTGTCTTGTGTAGTAAGTTTACACAGAGCTCTGTGCAGACAGGGAGCATATTGTTTTCAAGCGCCGCGAGGAAACTAAAGGCGTTAAAATTGGCAATCATCGCTTTGACTCCACCCGGAACTGAACAGCAGGTTCTTTTCTTGTATTTGTTAAAACCAGAAATAACCAGATGATCTTGTTAGTGGTTTCACTTTTCATTCAATTCTCCCTTATGAAATGGACACTGATGTCCGCAAGGCTTCCCGTCCTGAAGTCAATGACTCAAATCCAGAACTCCATTTTCGTTTCTTTTAATTAGATTAAACTATTATTCAAATGTTATTCATCTGTGCTCTTTGGGCACTTTTTGTTTTCCTCCTCAGATAGAAATTAATATTTACTTCTCCAGTGGTTGTACCATAACTAGATGTTTATCCTTCTTTTCATATCCACTGTAAATATTAAAGCTTGGTGAGATGACAAAGACCTAACTGAGAAAGTGTGTTATGAGACAGACACGAGGAGGAAACAAGGATGCAAAAGTTTGGCAAATAACGTTGAGCTTTTATTTTAAATCTTGAGGATATACCAACCTTTTATCAGTGTTAACACCTGTTATATTTATTACTACAGTTTGATTAAATATGACCTTTTTCATCGAAAGCAGGCAAAACAACTAAATAACTTACCCATATATAACTATAATTTACCTCTTCAGGCCTCTAAAACAGACTCAAACTGAAAAGTCTGAACAGTAAAACTGATCTGCATGAATATGTGGCTGGCTTTTATTCAATCTAAATAAATAAAGTGAGTTTAATACATTTCATCTTTACACTTTTAGTTTAAGCTGTGTTGGAAAACCTCATCTTAGATCTGATTTAGAAACACAAAACTGCGTCTTATGGTTTTAACATTTAGAGTTTAAGGATAACTGAACTTATCACACACAGTTAGCTTAGCTCAACTCTAAAACTTGAAGAAAGACATCTGCTCTTTAGTTTGGCTTGAATAATTTATTGTAAAAACGTGCAAAGTCAAGGTTCGTTTCAGGTAAAAGAAAATCAGTGGTGATTAAAACGTAAGTATGCGGTGGTGGAAGAAATATTCAGATCATTTAATTAAGTGAAAGTACCAATTTAACAATGTAAAATAACTAAGTAAAAGTCCTGTATTTTTGTGAAAGTACAGAAGTATTAGCTGCAAAATATACGTCAAGTATCAAAGCAAAAGTACTAGTTTCACGGAAAAATGTCTCCTGACTGATTTGTACAAATAATCACTAAGTAATCTAAATTTCAGTGACAATAATAAAGAATTATTGCTGTGGAGCCATTCTGGAGACACAAACACACACGGACGAGCTGCAATGGCCTCATCTGTCCGCCAGGTGTCGGGATTTCCACTCCTCCTTCTCTTGGAAATTATAATTGAAAGAACTGCTGAGACATGAAAACACATCTGGAGATTATACAAGGCACAGGTGGATCACCATGATAGGAGTTTCTGCTGGGGGTCACAGAGGTCAGGATGCAGCATTTGAGGAGTCCCAGCTTGAGTAAAACTGAATTTCTCTCTAACTCTGACGTGCTGTTAACAATGACTTGGTGTTTTTGGTGAAATAACATCCTGCTTCACCGATCAAATTAACCTGCAATTCAGTTTAATTATACATTGTGCTTGAGCTCAGCCCTGACACACACACACACACACACACACACACACACACACACACACGCCCTGATCTGAGCAATATAATATCCTAACAGCTAAATATAACTGAGATACAAGAGTGTACAATTTCACCTTCTGTTTAAGTACTTCTAAAATGGGACATTTTTCTAGTGAAGTTTTGAACTGGACCTGCAGGACAACGTCAGAAAACATGTGTGTTTGTCCTTCTACAGCTGCGACAGCAACGCTCCTAAAGCTTCTGTCTGCTGCGGCCAAACAGTGAAGATGTTCAGAGGTAGAGTGGGAAACCAGGATCTTACTGAAACTGTATTCTGGTTTCTTTTCAAGGAAAGTGTTGAACAAACTGCAGGTGATCGAGCTTTTAATGAACTGTCTCCTGCACTTGGTTCAATGTGATGTGGGTCTCTTCACAGGAGGGATATCTTGGTCTGTGATCAGTAACGGCTGCAATCAATAAAGATTTTATTCATTAATGATTAATCTGCAGATTATTGTACAGTGTTCTTTAAGATGTAGAAAATAGTGAAAAGGATATTCAAGCTTGCAAGGAAATAAAACACAAGAAGCAAATCCTTACGTTTGAAAAGCTAGAACCAATAAAAACTTGGGGTGTCGCCCAATATTTTGTCCAGCACCTCCTGAAGAGCTCGGTGGAAATTCAACCGAATCACTGGACAATCTGCATCTTCAAATAAATGAACCCAGATCTGACACATCAGGGACTTTCAGATCAAAAATAAACCACGTAAATTTAATTCATGGGGGAAAAAAAGTACACTCACACTGCACTAAAACAGAAATGTGGTATCAGTGTAAAAGCTTCCTGCCATAATCATACGGATGCACTGATCCGACTTTTTCAGTCCTAAAACAGATCCCAGTACCTGGTATCTGGCCGAGTACCGATCAGGTAAAATCAATTAGCTGTGAGGAAGAGACTGGTTGCTCTAGGTGTCACTTACACTGGGGACGCTGGGGACATGTCCCCACCCCTTTTAGAAATGGCTGATTTTGTCCCCACCACTTTTTGAAAGCAAAATTTGTAAAAAAAATTAAAAAAAAATAAAAAAAACACGTTCTGAAATATAGCTTGCAGTCAGATGACAAATGAAAATGCTTTTAGAAATGTTTACATGCACATTAAGAAAAAATGCAATGCAATTAAAATATGGAAGAAACAAATGTGTGTAACTTAAGCTAAAAAAAGAAACAAGCTACTGATTAAAAAAGACTTGCAGCACCAATCAGTAACTTTTACAACTTCTGGACACAGTTTCCGTTTTCTCCCTGTGAACATTACAAAAGAGGAGGGAAACCCCAACGTCCCCACTTCTGCTGGTTGTCATTCATTTATGTGTCCTGAGTCTCTCCTAGCAAAATTACTGGCACACTGCTGACACATCTCGTGATACCAGCGTAACTGAAATGAATAGATCACTAGAGCTGCGACGATAAGTCGATTATTCGATTAGTCGGTTAAAGGAAAATTTATTGACAACTATTTTGATTATCGGTTAATCGTTTCAGGCATTTTTTAAACAAAAATGTAATCTTTCTTAAATTGAGGAATTGCTGCTGTTCTTTGTCATTTATGATAGTAAATGAAGAGTCTTTGGGTTTTGGACTGTTGGTTGGACCAAAGAAGCAATTTGAAGACGTCACTTTGGGCTTTGGAAAATTGTGATGAGCATTTATAGACTTAATGATTAGTCGATTCATCGTGAAAGTGGTCGTCAGATTAGTCAATACTGAAAATAATCGTTAATTGCAGCTCTATATTGAATTATTATTCCATCCTGAATAGTAATATTATGATGTTCATCATCATCATTTTTATTTCAGTTACATTAAAATACACGCGTAGTAAATCTGTGACCTTTTCATCCTTGTTTGTTTTTGTTTTATAAATGTGCCACGTCCAAGTTCTCAACGTCGATTATCCTGTTTGTTTTTTCTCTTTCTGTAAAACAAGTGATGTTTTTTCTGTGTAGACCTGAAGGTCTTTTACATCCTCCCCCTGAGTCTCTGATGATGACAGCGCTGCAGCGTCTGTCCCGCCTCTGTGACGAGGGAGTGTCCTGTGGTTGGACTAGAGTTCAAAAAGTGCAAACACCTGCATCTCCATCCACTAGCAGAGCACAGGGACTGCAGGTTAGACGGGCATACCTCACTAGCTCAACTCAACCAACTGGACTGTTGGCTTTTACTACAATTTGGTGATGAGATCCTACTTTATTACAGTCAGTGCATGAACACTGGATGTACTGCAGCTTTGGACAAATAGACAGGGACAGCTTTTAGAACAAACACACATTTCAACATGGAGATTGAAAGCATGGTGGCAAATAGTGCTCTTATTAAAGCCAGAGAAGGTAAGAGACCTTTTTCATATTGTCCTACAGAATTTATGTCCAAACATCTAAACTTATTTTTCTGAAAGTATTTACAGTGAGAATAAGACATGTAATAGGATCATTTAAATGTTCACATTTAGACCAGCAACTACATGCTAATTGTAAGAGTTTTTTAGACTTTAATTAGAAGGTTTTGTTTCTACACTTCATGGCATAATCTTTGTCAGGATCTCAGGTGCAAAATGTTTCTCCGGTCATGTTTTGGTTCGGTGATTTGAGGGCGGCGACTTCCCTAAACAACAACGATGAGGAATGATGAAACACAGATCAGTCATTTGCACTGACCCCTGGGCTGCTCAGACTTTCACCCCTGTTTTATTAATCCCTGCCAGTGCTGGTTTCAAGTTTCCACAACATTTATTTACTTTTAATTAGTTTGGACATTTCTAGATTTACTCATAGTTCACCCACAGTGAAAGACTTTGAACAAAAACATCAGAAACATAATCTGAAATATGAAATTCTGTTGGGAAACAAATGGGTTGTACGAAAACTGAGCTTTACTTTTGAAGCGACGGCCGAGCTATTAGTTAGAAATTGAGCTGCAGAGTAATGTGGTCCCACTGGCTTTGCTTACCTGCTCCACAGCTATAAATAGCTCATTCACTGTAGTGAAGCATACCATTGTGTGAAACCTGACGGGCTAGGTATGCAGGTACTCACGCATGTTTATGATGACACTGCTGACATATCTATAATCACAATCTGCAACTAAAACAGATTCGATTTTCTCTGTCAGGTGGAGGGGGTAAAGGCAGAAGCTGGAAGTGGAAAGAGATGCTTCGCTTTCCTCACATTAATCAGTGCATGGAAATGGCCATGAATATAGGTGTGTGCACGAGCGTGTTTCATAAGTCACTGCATGTCAGGGTTTGTTGTGTGATTTCACATCATGTTTTGTTTTACGTTTCTCCGTCAGAGCGAGACTACTATAGTCTGTGTGTGAAGCAGCCTATTGGCAAGAAACTGTTTCAGCTCTTCTGTCGGAGTCGGCCTGATCTGCAGAACTACATTTCCCTCCAGGACGCTTTGGTACGTTAAAGCTTTGGGGGCTTAAGTAAATATCATTTATAGGATTTCAACTGTAAGAAATACAGAGCAAGTTAAAGCTCAGAAAGCTCCATTTTAGACAAATGCATGCTGATATGAACTGTGTCAGGTTGGGTGAGTTGTGGTACCGTAAAACAAACACTTCAGTGCATCAAATGTGAGTGAATAAAGTCCAGAAATTACACAACACAATACACTTACTGAGATTTCAAAGGGTTAGCATGTTCAAGAATTACAAAACTCTACATTTTTCAGCGTCTTTATTAATTTAAAAAACAAATTCAGGAACAAATCTGAGGTAAGGACAGCAGAAGTCTGTGGCGGGCATTAATCTGTTAACCGGCTGGGCAATAAAACAATAATGATAATTATCGCAGTATAATTTTCCTCAATAACAATATCATAAATGTTCAATTTACCGTCAATAAATGTTTGGTTTAATTAATTTGAATCACAAACAAATTAGCACTTAATTTTTATATTAAATTAAAACTGAGGAACAGGGACTGAAAAAACATTTACTGATCATATTTGTTGAAAAACATTTAGTCACAATAGTTTTGAATGTTCTTGTGAAGTGATCCACTGTTTGGCAGCGAGTGTAGGAAAGTTTAACCACATTTTCACTCAGGAGCAAAAATCTGCCTTTAAACTTGAAAGAAATAATGATTTGACATTTATCCTGATAATTATCGATATCGAATGATGTGAAATGTTTTTATCATGAGAATATTTTTGGTCTCATCGCCCTATGAAGTTGACCACAGTTTGGATGTAGAAGTAATGCCCTAAAAAGACATGATGGGCGCCGTTTGTGTGGCTTTGTAAGTTAAGTAAAATATATGTTGTCTCAGTACACCGAATGTGATCGCTGCAAAAATCGTATTCCCGGTAATATACTTCCCACCACCCCTCATTCCAATGTGCAGAGTTTTAAGATTGTATAGTTAGTTTGGAGCCAGTCTAGAGTCTCTCTTCATCCAGTGCCTTCTAGCAAGTTGACCATCTCTCTGTAAATTACAACATAAAAATATTTATTCCCATTGAGACCTTCACACCTGGCATGAGATGGAGGGTCCCCTCCAGATCCAGTTCAGTGATGCTGCAGTACAGACAATATTTTTTTCCTATTTCCTGATCAATAATGGCTCTCTAGGGAGACTGGAACAAAATACTTGATTGAGTAATTTGAATATTTCACGTAACGTCCAAAATACATGTGTATGGTTTGCAATCCTCTCCAAAAAGGTTGTAGATGTTTGTAAGTTTGAGTCCCTGAGAAGATTTAATTCCCCACATTTCTTCCCTAAAGTCCATCTGTAGCTCCTGTTCACATTGTTGTTTAGTCCGTTTTAACGTATTTAGAATATCTCAGAGCTGAAGATGGGAACTGATGCCTCTTACTGTTTAAACGCTTTGAAGAACTCACCTGTATATTCATATGATGTCTCCTGCAGGACATGTTTGAGACAAAGTCAGACGAGGACAGGAGAGTTTTTGGCATCAGCATCGTTCAGAGATTCCTCATGAGTCAGGTCTGAAAACACACACATCCATACTACTTACAAATATTTATGTATCTTTTTGTTACATATTTGTACTCCAAAGAACTCAAACTCCATATTTTATTTTACAACAAATATTCTTAAATTAGTTTTACGTCCACCCAGAAACCCATCTAGAGTTTAACGGCTGCTAACAGCCACAGTAAGTACTTTAGTTTGTTTTACAAAAACCAGCCTCGGCTTAAACGTCCTCATCCATGTTTCCTCAGTCCAGTCAGTGCGTGTCCATCGTGCTGAGACACAAACAGAGCTGCATCCAGAATCTGGAGCTGGATCCCTGCAGCGATGTCTTTCATGAGTGCAGGGAGTAAGTCCTCACATGCTCCTTCTGGCTATATGTGCACATGTTTAAAGGGAATAAAGCCTAACCTCTCTGTTTCCTGCATTAGAGACCTACATAAATACCTCAGTGGAGAGCCCTTCATGCAGTACCAGGAGAGCATGTTTTTTGACCGTCTGCTACAGTGGAAGATGTTGGAGAGGTCAGTATGTGTGTACAAACTAAACACAATGACAGCTCAGTGGTTGGTTGCGTAGCTGGTTTATCTGCTTGCATTACCCGACATGCTCTGCTACAACCACTCTTGACTCCGTGCCACATTTAGTTTTGTATTTTCAGTTCAGAATGAAAACAACTTGTCTTTCTCTTCAAGGCAGCCCATCACCAAGCAGACGTTTAGACAGTACAGACTACTGGGGAAAGGAGGGTTTGGAGAGGTAAGACTGCAGTCACACTTTCTCAATGACTAAATAGTTTGCAGCCAAAGCTGTGTGTGTGAGAGCCCACATTTAAAAAAAATACATATATTCTCATCTCCCTCTAGTGGTCTCTAAATATTCTGAAAGATTTGGCTTTATTTGTCCAGGTTTTGAGATTTCTGCCTACTTTTCAGAACACAGGAGTCGCTGGTCTTTGTTAAATACACTAAAGTCACACAATTACACAAACTAACTGATGGAGGCAGCGGTAGACCAGAGAGGTAAAATTACAGTTTTTATCAATGGAGTCTGGTGGCTTTGAGGAGAGCGATTTACTGACTGTTTCTGATTGAACAAAAGGGCTTATCTCTGTAGGGATCATTTCCACAATGTTGTCAAACACTCTGAGCACTTTGGTATCTCAGGTCGGGGTGAACAGGTTTGTGACGTGTGTTACAAGCTGGAGTGTGAACACCAATCAGAAAGGGTCCACTAAAAGATGCTATGTAGTTGCATTACGGGAAAAGTATGATCCAGCGTTCCAGTGTTTTTGACCCATTTAAGGTATATGGTTTATGACTTTATGGAATTACAATACTGTTATTTCCACACACAGGATTTCATTTTTGAAATAATAACTATTGCTACTAATTAACTATTTTGTGTTATCTTTCCAGGTGTGGGCTTGTCAGGTACGAGCCACAGGAATGTTGTATGCCTGCAAAAAGCTGGAGAAGACTCATGTGAAGAAGAGGAAAGGAGAAGGCATGGCTCTCAATGAGAAACAGATACTGGAGGTGCTGGACAGTCGATTTGTGGTGAGATTACCAGAGTTATGCCCTTTCGGTTTGATTTGTGGTGAGATTACCAGAGTTATGCCTTTTCGGTTTGATTTGTGGTGAGATTACCACAGTTAAAATCTTTCTGTGCAAATAAAAACCTTTTTAACCTAAACCTAACAACGCATGTTGAGATTTGGTGACATTAAACCAAAGTACACAATACTGCTTGCCTTACGCCACATACAGTCGCAGGAAAAACTACGTTAACCCTTTGGAATAACCTGGATTTTTAAATAGAATTGGTCATAAAATGTGTTCTGATCTTCGTCTAAGTCACAACAATAGACAAACACAGTCTGCTTAAGGTAATACCACACAAACTGTTGTATGTAGTATGACTGTGGACCAGGGTGCAGACACAGAACACTCGAGCCGAGGCAAGTTCAAGTCAAGAGTTTATTCACAAGGAATGGAGCAACTTGTAGAACTGTTTGAAAAAGGTTAGAGTGAGCAGGGGCAGTCAGCGATCCCAAAAATCCTCTGTGCAACACAAAAGACACACTTGATGAGGGTATCCCGAACAGGTTAGGAATAATGTGGCGACGAGTGTCAGGAAGCCCCACATCTTAAGGCCGGCAGCTGATGAGGATTGCCAGCAGGTGTGCAACTTCACCAGGCGATCCGCTTCCTGCCAAGTGTTAGACACACCCACAGAACACCACAGGGAAAAAAGGAAAACCCCCAAGTGTCACAGCACCAACTGTGACACAAACAATTATATGTTCTCACGTTTTTATTGAACACACCGTGTAAACATCTACAGTGCAGTCAGCGAGCCTGGAGTCCAATCACTGAGACGAGATTGGAGGTGTTGGTTAAGAGCTGCTATAAAAAACACACACCTGGGGCCTGTACCGTGAAGCAGGATTTGAGCTTTTCCAGATAACTAAAGGGTTAACCCTGGGTTTTTGGTACCACAAAGGTGGTTCACTTATTACCGAGGTTGATCGCCATGGTAACTTATGCTGAACGGCTAACCTGCTCCAGACTGCACTGCAGGTTATGTTCCAGATAAGAGATCAACGCTATTAAAACGCCACCTACTGACCAATCAGCTCTCTTGGAAAATGACATCACCATCTGTAGGAGATCCCACAGACCGTTTCATAGGCTGCTTAGCCTATATGTGTGCTGCAGTGATACGGAGAAGCTTTTGTACAGCAGCTGTGTTACTTAGACTATGTTGTTGGCTATTTGTCTTAAAATTACAGTTGGCTCTTTGTTTATAAAATATGACGCTCTGCTGCCAGAGGACTTGTTCATGTCTGCGATTGGTCATCTGCTGCTAACACCGCCTCTTTTATGTGAACGTGCTCACGGCTGGATTGGAAAACCCTGTTTTGACTTACCGAGTTGATAACCATCTTCGTGTGACACCTTATCCCGATCCCAATTGTGATTGATAAAGTAAAACATATTCATAGGTATGTTGAACTTGCTTCTTGGTACAGGCCCCAGTTTTAATTTTGCTATTCTAACGAAGTAAATGCTCTGTAAATGCTCCGTACTTGTATAGCGCCTTTCTAGTCTTTTCGACCACTCAAAGCGTTCTGCATTCACCAGTCATACACATTCATACACTGAGCCTAAGTGCTCAAACGGAAACTAACATTCACACTCATTCATACACTGGCGGAATAGCCGCCAGGGGCAAATCGGGGTTCAGTATCTTGCCCAAGGACACTTCGACACGCAACCAGGGGACCTTCCGATTAACGGCCAACCCGCTCTACCTCCTGAGCCACAGCCGCCCCCAAGTAACCATCTCTTGAACAAAAGAGCTCTCCCAAGACCTAAGATTAAGAATTGCTGACTTGTATAAAGCTGGAAAGGGTACCACAAGTATCTCTAAAAGCCTCGATGCTCATCAGTCCATGGTAATACAAATTGTCTATAAATGGAGAAAGATCAGCACTGTTGCTGCTCTCCCTAGGAGTGGCCGTCCTGCACGAGCACAGCGCAGAATGCTCAATGAGTTGAGAAGAATCCTAGAGTGTCAGCTGAAGACTTACAGATGCTCTGGAACATGCTAACATTGCTGTTGACGACTCTAAACAAACACTGAACAAGAATAGAGTTAATGGGAGGACACCACGGAGGAAGCCACTGCTGTCCAAAAAAACATTGCTGCAAGTTTGCAAAAGAGCGGCTGGAAGTTCCACAGCCCTACTGGCAAAATATTCTCTGGACAGATGAAACCAAATTTGAGTTGTTTGAAGGAACACACAATCCTATGTGTGGAGGAAAAAAAAGGCACAGCATATCAACATTAAAACCTCATCCCAACTGTATGGTGGAGGGGACATCATGGTTTGGGGCTGCTTCGCTGCCTCAGGGCTTGGAAAGGTTGCTCATTGACAAAAAAATTAATTCCAAAATTTATGAAGACATTTTGCGCCAGTTGAAGCTCAACAGGAGATGGGTGACAACAGGACAACAACCCACAGCACAGAAGTACATCAACAACCGAATGGCTTCAGCAGAAGAAAATACACCTTCTGGAGTGGCCCAGTCAGAGTCCTGACCTAAACTCGACTGAGATGCCGTGGCATGACCTCAAGAGAGCGATTCACACCAGACATCCCAAAAATATTCCTAACTGAAACAGTTTTGTAAAGAACAACGGTCCAAAATTCCTGTTGTTTAGGTCTGATCTGCCACTACTGGAAATGCTTGGCTGAGGTTATTGCTGCCAAAAGAAGTTCAACCAGTAATAAAATCCAAGGGTTCACCTACTTTTTCCACTTTTTGCATGGTATTAGTTTAAGCAGACTGTGTTTGTCTGTTGTTGTGACTTAGATGAAGATCAGATCACATTTTATGACCAATTCATGCAGAAATCCTGGAAATTCCAAAGTGTTCAAATACTTTTTCCTACGACTGTACAAGTCTTTAACTGATCCACACTTCACATGCACTCTTGTTCTGCATTTAGGTGAACCTGGCGTATGCTTACGAGACCAAACACTCCCTGTGTATGGTTTTGACCATGATGAGCGGTGGGGACTTGAAGTTTCATATTTATAACATCGGCGTGCCCGGCCTGGACAAAGACAGAGTGAGGTTCTACGCTGCAGAGGTCTGCTGTGGTTTAATGCACCTCCACCAAAAGTCAATAATATATAGGTAAGAGAATTTCCATATTGAGTCACCTCTCTTCTGTCCTGGACGTATGAATCGACTGCTGTGTTTGATCTTCCAGGGATATGAAACCAGAAAACATTCTCTTGGATGACAATGGTATGTACAGCAAGAGTTTGTTTCTGTAAATATTGAGACATAAATAGCTCTGATGATATGTTTGTGGTTATTTTTAGCTCGGAAAATTTGTCTGAGTGATTAAAATGACAACAGATAATAGTTCTGTCAGCAAATCACTCCACTTATCGGATGCATTCTTGAGATACTTCAACCTGTTTTTGTTGACATGGGTACAAACAAAGGCAGGTGGAGGAAGTGAAAAGCCTGTGAAAAACAGGTGTGGCGCGGTCTATTTTAAGAAAACTCTGCAACTGTTCATTCATTCTTGGCAGCGCGTTTGAAGACCTGGAGCCACCTTAGGTTTACAAGCCATAATGATGACTCAATATTAGTTATTGCATACAATGTTTCAAGAGCTGTCTACTAAGAGGGCAGGGAAGTAGAAACTGATTGGGCGAAAGGGAAAGTGCGTCATAGCTCAAACCTGTTCGGTGGATTTTTTTGTATTTGTTCCCTGAAGGACACATCCGCATCTCTGACCTTGGCCTGGCTGTGAGGCTGTCTGAAGGGAAACTGGCGCGAGGCATGGTGGGCACGCTGGGATATATGGGTATGTATGTATGTAGCTCACATTACTGATGTCCAGACAAAGTCTACAGAGCACAAAGAGTGTGTTGGCCTTTATCTCAGCAAAAACCAAACAACTCCAGAGAGAAAATTCCTAAATCTGTTCTTGATCTTAATGTAATAAATCTAAAGGTCTCAGGTAACCAATATCAGAAGGTTTATCTGTGGCCTGCAGGTTTAACCTTTAACCTGCTGCTGTCTATGCAGAAATAATGTGTAACACTTTTTCTTGAAATATTTGTTACAGAAAATACAGAAATGACCATAAAAAATTGTTACTACACCAAATTACCAAATAATTCATTGTTTGGTATATGCGCTATTTATATAAATATAGTATAATTACTTTGTTCGCCAAAAAGTCTTTAACAGACAAAGAAGTACAGTTTGTTATCATCAGAGTCAGAGGTCGGCCGCGCTGTTAGACTAGATTAGATTCTTTATTGTCCTTTCCAGGACATTTGTTTCCACCATCTATACGTACATGAACATACATAACAACATGCTGTACATTTTATACACAAATTGACTCTCAAACCCAAACATACCTTTTACTTAGCAAGTACTCTTGTTGAGTAGTGTTATGGAGACGGGACAAAACTCCTGCTATAGCGAGCCCGTTTCCAGGCCAGGGATCTATATCTAAGTCCCGATGGTAGCAGAGTGAAAAAAATGCTGAGAGGATGACTGATGTCGTGGGATATTATGTGTGCTTTCCGTATAATGGCTTTCCTATTGAGGTCAGAGAGGTTGGGGGTGGGGAGACCAATTATTTTGGAGGCTTTTGTAGAGCAGCAGTAGAAGGTGGGAAAGAGACTGAAGTTTACAAACCTTGTCTGAAAAACATTTTACAGAAATCTAAATAAGTCTTTTCTTGGATATCTGCTGTGTAAATAATGCTGTCAGCACCATCACAGATAAACACTACTGGTCAAAAAACACCCCAATGTTTCTAGTTTGTATTGAAATACAGTTCAAGTCCGGTGAAAAACCTTAAACGGTACAAAAGTAAGCAGCAAACTGCCAAAGTTAAAAACAATGTTTACGTCACCAAAACAGACATTTTCAGATATAAAATTAACAATTACATGAGTTTTGTTCATTATTTCACTGGAGGATTAACTGATGATGACCAATTGGTCAATCACACGCTGCTGCTGGCTGCTGACAGCGTACTGACCTGCACCCTCATTTCAGCTCCCGAGGTGATCAACCACAGGCCTTACGGGGTGAGCGTCGACTGGTGGGGCCTCGGCTGTCTGATCTATGAGATGACTGCAGGGCAGCCCCCGTTCAGGACCCGAGGAGAGCATCCTAAACCCATGGAGATGGAGCGAAGGATTCAGACTGAACAGGAGGAATACGGTGACAAGTTCAGCACGGAGGTGAAAGACCTCTGTTCCTTGGTAAGTTCTGCTCAACAGACATCTTTCTTCAAACAATCAAGTTCAGGAAATGAACAGGTTCTCTTTCCTGTGTTGCAGCTGTTGACCAAGGACCCGAACCAGAGGTTGGGTTGCCAGAGCTCAGGGGGGAGGGAAGTAAAGTCGCACCCTTTCTTCCAGCAAATCAACTTCAGGATGCTGGAAGCAGGACTCGTCAAGCCCCCATTTAAACCTGATGCAAGTACTCTAATGATGGTTTAGACACACATAACATCTCCGCACATGTATTTACCTGTTACACAGTCTGACAGTGGCAGTGACTCCATTTAAACCACAAACCTTATTCTTCATTTACATTTAATTCTTCGCTCGCCTGTAGATTAATTTCACATTTGCATGTTCAGCTGACCTGCTGTGAACTCACAAACAACCTTAGTCATCGTTCTTTTCAGGAAATGCCCTGGGGAAATAGTAGGGAATAATCCTCCATAGAAATAAGCTTTACAAATATAACTAATATCTTTATTAATGATTAATGATATGTCAATTTAACTAGTATATATCCTCCTGCTATTTTTAGCATTTTAATTCTACAGGAATTCCCCTCCAGATAGTCTGAACACGTGTGCTGTTATTAATAACTTATTAAAAGTGTATTTAATGAGGTCATATTATGCTCATTTTAAGGTTTATAATTTTATTTAGGGGTTGTACCAAAATAATTTTTTTTTAAAAACACACCATATTTTTGTCATACTGCATATTGCTGCAGCACCTCTTTTCACCCTGTGTGTTAAACGCTCCATCTTAGCTACCGAGTGAAGCGTCTCACTTCTATTCACCTGTGCAGTACCTAGGTAAGGACTACTAGCCAATCAGAAGCAGAGTATATACAGTCTATGGTCCTCACAAGCTTTCTATCTTTCATACGTACGCCTGGAGGGTCTTTAGCGTTCAGTAGGGAGGGTGGGGGTGAGGGGAGGCAGCGAGCGGACGTCTTGTCACTGTGTGTGCTGCAGCTCAGTGTGTTTCTCCACCAGTGTTTTTGAGGGCGTGCCACAGTAGCCGCCAGGCGAGCGTTATGATGCGCGTTACATAGTGATGCAGATAGTTTATGGAAGTAAATCCAGCTGTTTTCACTTTGCAAACCTATTACATGCACAAAAAAAGATTTAACACAAAAAGCATAATATGACCTCTTTAAATAAAACAAACAAACAAACTGTAGACTTTATGGCTTATATAAAGTTGCCTTTTTGTTATTTCTTAATATGAAAAGTGACTACGGCTCTAAAACATGAAGTAATCATATATTCAAATTAAATAAATAAGAAGGAAGGAAAACTGAAAGCCTGTCTGTGCTCACTGCATGTTGTGTTTTTACTCCTGCAGCCCAGACAGGTGTACTGCAGCGACGTGCAGGACATTGACGAGTTTTCTACAGTGAAGGGAGTCATTCTGAACCACGAAGACAACTACTTCTACTCCAAGTTCAACACAGGCAGCGTCCCTATAACCTGGCAAAACGAGGTACGTTCAACTTCTTGGTAGCGTCGAAGCGTCTGTCCACACGGAGACTACAAACCTCCTCCTCCTCCTCCCCCTGCAGGTGATAGAGACAGGATGTTTCCAGGAGCTGAATATTTTTGGCCCTGCGGGATCTCGATCTCCGGACCTCGAGTGGTCCCAGGCGCCCGAGAACCCCAAACGCGGCCTGCTGCACCGCCTCTTCCGCAGAAACGTAAGAACGCGGCCACGCTGTTTCTCAAAGCGTGTGTGTGGTTTTGTGGCGGCTGAATATTTCTGTCTTTCCTCCAATAGCAGCATCCGGAGTCGTCAGACGAAAGCAGACAGAACTTGGTGTCCCACGAGAGCTACATGACGTCTGGACTCGTCAGCTCCAGCCTCTGAGGACTGCCGCAGCACAGAGACTGCTTTAAAGACACTAACGTACGAAGCAGGAAACCGCAGTGAATCTCTGTGAATCCCAGCATAGCATTCGTTTCTGTTATATCAGCACTTGCTTCTTCTTAAAAACAAATTACATCCGTAGCTTTGTGTTAAATACTTGAATTTTGATACAAGCAGCATGCCGTGTGAAGCTACTTCAAAACTAATTTCACTGTGTTCACAAAGTTTTGATTTTTTTCTTATAAAAATGTACTGGTTCCACTTTCCCTTCTTGTTCTGCATGTGAATATTTCCAGATTTTCTTGTATGATAACACGTCACTGTCACGTTTTTCTCATTATTTTATAGAACGATTAATCTATTAAAAGGATCATTTAGGGTATTTTTAAACCTGGGCAGGAGACAAGGATGGAGCCACTTGCTCTTTGAATCTGAAATTATTTTTTGTGCTGCCTTTTCTATTACGAATGAATGACATCACAAACAACATTGAGTATTTCACCCCTCACTTATAGGATCATTTCGACAACTTTAAACCTGGGCCCTTTTGTTATTTTATTTTTTACATATGTTTGGGTCTAAATGAGTAGTGGCAGAGACGTTTAAGAAGAGACACACCACTTAAACGCCAAAATGCTGGTTATCCCGCCTTTCCCGCTAGAAAGCCAATCTGCTTTAACAGCCGAGGCGGGAAACATTAAGCCGTGTGGTTCCACTGATGTAAAGGTCTGCTACGCATGCGTAGAAGAAGTATAATCGGTGGGGAAAAACCATAGACTGTATATAAAAACGCTTTTTAAACCTTATTTCGTTTTTTTTTAAAGCCAGATTTTACTGCTGATTCTAGGGATCGGATATTGTTAATCCAAAATAAATGCCCGGAGGCGTCACCGAGATGGCTGCAGGGTGGCGGGACTTGCCTGTAAGGACTTTGCTAGTAGGTACATAAAGTTTTGGAACCGTGCAGTAGATCCTTCAGCTGGTGTTGTGTGGATTTACGCTACATGATGCTATTTATGCTAAATGTTATAATCAAAAAACAGAAGATGTCATAATACTGTGAGAGTTATAACTTTATGGGATTGGAGAAGGGAACACATAAGGTAGCATTTTTCGACTCGATAGACGGCTGTTGATTTGCACGAAGGCAGCAGATATCGTCAGAACACCGGTAGTTAAACCGGCTACAGTGGCTGCAACGTATTTCTTTAGTCAAAATGGCGTCCATACAAAGTGTTTCTTATTGCCACTGACAGGCTCAGACTGTTGCACCAGGTGTCTGACAACATCATGGAAAGGGTCCCTGCCAGGGACTGGGTGGTTTTAACAGGAAACTGAAGTCTCGCTCAATGACAGATCTCGCTCTGAAATCTCGAGAGGCGAGTTTTTGCAGGAAGACGGCGGTGGAAACAAGGAGGAGAGGGATTTGTTGGTGTCGCACACAACAAACTCCTCTCAGTAATTTCCACTGTCGTCTTTCTGCAACAAAATAATCAACAGGTTTAAACTAGTGTTGTTAGATTAATGTTTAAGTTGAGATTTACAAGAAATATTTTGTTGCTACTGTGTAAAGGGAATACTGCTGGTAAAAAGCACCTGATTTCTTTAAAGTGTTTGCAAACCACGTTATTACACTTTGTGTATATAGCAGTACATTTGAATTAAAAGTGCGCAATACACTTCTTTAGAATTCATGATTCAATTTTGCGCATAACAATGAGATTAATCACAAGAAAATCATGTGATTAATCGCGATTAAAAAATTTTATCGTTGTCCAGCACTAGTTCCTCCTCAAGGTCGGGAACCACAAAGTTTAATGTCAGACGCACATTTCTTTGTTTGAAAGCTTGTTGAATGATTCAATTAATTAAGAGTTCAGCTTTTTTCATGTTGCATTTTTATTTTATTTAACGCCGAGTAAAAAAACAGACACACAATGTAAGACAAATAAAAATTTGCAAAAAAGACTGAATCTACTCTCGTCTACTGAGTGACTGAGTGATGTGAAGTGTTGCAGAACATCAGAGGTCCAACATGGCACCCAGTGAGAGATTTCTCTACACGTTAACTTCAAAATACACATATTTTAAATCAGAGCACCGAAAACAAGTTGATTTAGTTGCCAAATGTTCAGTGTGGCATGTCAGCTGATGACACGCTAATAAATGATGATATGCAGCCATCCATTATTAGCTTGGTGGAACCATTTTCACAGCTCATGTATTCAGTTTCAACTTCCTGCAGCGTGCGGTGCTTTCGTTTTACCACTGAAGGTGGAGCAATGTTTTGATTTTTTTTTGGGGGGGGGGGGGGCGTACAGAGGTCAAGCTGCCTTCATCCTTCCCACGGAGGGCTGCGGCGTCCGTCCACGTCCGTCTCCACGTGGTACAGCATGTCAGCCAGCGTGTGTTCGATCACAGCTCCCCAGCCCATGTCGCTCATCTGAGACGGAACAAAAACAACCACAGCAGATTGATCAAAGCTCAGGTTAGTGTGAGGTTTGTAATCTGAGGAAGGACGCGAGTCTTTACCGGCTGGTACTTCACGTCCTTTGGAGGGTGTTTGAAATGTGGACCAAAATTGACCGACACCTGAAAAAAAAATAAATAAAAAGAGAGTTCAGTTGAGCGAACATAACGAAATGAAATGAGACGGCAGAGGAAACACAGCAGGTGCACTCACCGTGCAGCTCTTGTAGAGTGAGATGGCAGGGAAGTACATGCCTTCAAACAGGTTTTCAAAGGCAACACCTTGGTTTACTCCGTTTTTATAGAATATCATCTGAAAAACAGGATCCACGAGTTAACAGAAGCAAACTGCCTGACAGCTTTTCTAACTGGATTTGACGGGGAGACGTTTCCTCACCCTGCTGGGGCTCGTCGACTTCAGGCTCTTCTCTGCTTTGTCTACGTAGTCCTTCTCCTCAAAGTACAGGTAGCTCTTGAACTTAATCAGCGCCTGAAGAGACATCAGATTTAAGAAAGGACGCCGGGATAACGACAGCGTGGTTGTCAGCGTGCCGCAGGCGTTACCTTGTCCTTGTACGTATCAGGCAGAGCCTTGGCGGTCTCTGTGGCGTCAGGCAGCTCTATGAAGAAGCCCAGCGTGTCTCCCTGACCGTAGCCCGAGGAATAATGCTTTCCTACCGACTGGTGGAACCGCGTGCCCTTCTTGCTGCGCCACGAGTAGCTGAACTTGTCGTAACCCAGAGGGGCCTGCAGGTTGCCTGGGATACGAAGAGAGGAAAGTGTTTTAACATATCAAGAAGTCACCGTGCAGACAGACCTTTAGAATAAATAACTAGTGTGTCGTTCTCAGGAGCATCTGCTGGCTCCATCTCATTGCTGGTACCAGCTCAGCTCAACTCGCTTTTAGTGCCGTCTGTTTTCCACTGCAGCCGTAGCCACAGCACAAAACTGCCGTGACATAATCGTCCTCGCGACACACGGCAACCAAACAGGAGCGTCCGCACCTCCTCATTTGACAACGCCGTGGTTTTGCAGGCATCCATAATAATAATAATAATAAAGTACAGAGAGCCTTGTTACAGTTACTGTGTCACAATCTCCGGCTAAACTATCTAAAAATGGCGGGTTTGTTCAGGACACCCCGTATGGCGTCTGCAGTGTTTTTCGTGAGACAAGTCATGTCATTTAAATCAAATCTGATTTAGCTTGAAACGCGGCTCCTACATGTACAAACACACGGCGAAGTGAAGGTACCGTTACCTCCAAACTACTCAGTTGACGCCAACTACGCTCGTACATGCAATAAAACCTTTGTGAGCAAAAAGAAAATACTTTATCAATACATCTGTTCAACAAGCTCAACATGTAGAAGGTGTTATTAAAATCTGCTCCGCCCACAGTGCACAGCTAACGTTAGCTTGGCAATCAACCAAGTGTTCAACAAGCTCAATTGAAAGCGGTCTGTCTAAGGTCTGGTGCTTAGGGCGCCACGTGCCTTAAAATTTGGCACGTTCTTACCTGCAGTGAATCGAAGCAGAGAGGAGGAGGAGGAGGAAGGACTGATGCCGTACTGCAAGAGTTCAGTGTTTCCTCTATATGCATTTAGAAGCAGCGCGCAGTTAGCTAACATCTCCCCTTCAGACTGAGCTGAGCAGCTTCTACAGCAGCTAGTTAGTGATGCAAACTCGTCCTTTTAAGCTGATGAGCAGACGTTTCTTTTTGGATTTTAATGTGCAAATAAAATGCACCTCAGAAGGGAGGAGGTTTCTCATGCTGCCTATTTTTATATTAATGTCTACAGATAAATGTCAGAAGCTGTAAAATGAAGACACAAAAGGCAAACATGAACAGTCGCATCAGGTCATATTAACAGGGTTTTTAGGGGTGATGCCCAAAACATGCTGTGCCATCACTGTAAAATCAATGAAACCAACCAAATTACTTTCTCCAGATCTAAAGGTTGTAGTTCCTCCAGCAGACTGATCTTTGGGTGGTTATTTATTATCTGCTCTAGCTTTTCCAATAATGGCCCAATATGATGTGAAATTGCACTTGCTGTTCGTCCTGCCCTGCTGCTGGAAAAGAGGAGACACTGGAGTTTCCTCTTAAACTGTGAAAAACATCATGATAGGGGTGAATGATTTTGGAAAATAATCTAGTTGCGATTTGTTTTTAACCAATATTGCGATCACGATTTAATATGAAATTAATTTTTAGGCTCTTTATCTTCTGTATTATTCAAAATGGACAAGCAGTAAATCAGTGTGCAGTCTGACCAACACGATATTAGATAGATGAAACTACACTGTTCTTTCTTGTGGGTCGCGCCTGTGTTATGATGAATTAGGTAGAATTATTATTATTATGAGCATAATAATGGTGGAGAAATATCACATTATAATTTTCTTCTTCGTTTCACAGATATTTCCTGAGCTGACTGGTGGCTGTGTGCGTGACGCAGGCGCCGATCGCCACAATACGCTTACCGTACTGCACGTGTCTTTCTGTTTTGCATTTTTCCTGTCCGTCAAAGCGGCGGATGGCCCGACGATTTCACCCACCACCAAGTTACCCGCGGGTTTCCCCGTGTGACACTAAGTTTCCGTAGGGTCAGCTTCTGTCAAGCTTAAGGCCGTTTGGACAACAACAAGTCAAGGTACAGCGTCACGTGCGAAGTTGATGCTCCGTCTGCAGACTGCTTTACTCTCGCATGTGACCAGAGCATAATCGCAGCCTTTGTGATTAGAAAATCGCAAATGCGATTAATCGTTCAGCCCTAGTTGACGACATGTTTGTTTGGCTGTCGCAGCCTGCACTGCGTCTGCGTGGCTCTTTGACAGCATGAGCGCAACAACAGCAGCTGCGCACGTTAAAGCATCGTCTCGTTCTTATCGGCCAAAATTTTATTTGCCCAATATTGGTCGACAATTTATCGGATCGCAGCTCTGCTCGTCTTACTGAGGCTGCCTCGTCTAAGCTTCTCATATGAAAGTTGATTTTTATGTAAATGCAGAAGCGCTTCCACTGACCGAGTGGTTGAGACCAGCCGAGCCTGGCTGCCGTCTCTGAAGGCATGTCTTCAACGGTAACCTCAAAGTACCAGGAGCCCTTCCGGACGCCGTGGGAGGCTCGCACCATGGAGTAGCCCTTCTCCCCGGTCACGGTCAGACGGTCGTCGGAGATCTTCAGCTGGGGCGCTGCGACATGAACACACACTCATTTTTTTTTTTACAGATCCCAGAAACATGAGACAAACTTGACCTTTCAAGGTTAAACATCTAATCCTAGAGATGTGTTTGGAGCTGTGAGCACCTCTGTCGTGTAAGGCCAGCAGCACCCTCTCATACAGACAGGCCCGGTACAGATCCCCAGGGATGGGTTTGCCGGCCCAGCAGTCCAGTTCCAGCTTCTCCGGGTCTGGGGCGTGAGGATCTGGTTCTGCCAGGATGTAACGGTAGCCATCTTTATTAAAGGGGTGCTCTAGTGGGTAACCGTGAGGAGGCAGGCGCTGGGCCGAGAACAGAGGGTCGCTGCGAGGAGGGAGGAAAAGGAGTGTGTTTGGAATCTGCACTGATATAAAAGACCAAACGTTCCTACTGACAGGTGTTGTCTCTGTGTGCCAAGGTGACCGATCAACTGATGAAACTGCTCCTGTTCTGGAGAGTTAACAAAAACATCAGGCGCAGCTACAATGCCTCGAGAAGCAACGAGCTCACGTCCCATAAAGAATTGATTATTTCTATCTAATTAATCTGTTTTGTTTATGCAGCTTTTCTTTCTTTCTTTGTTCATGACGCCTGTTTAATTTTGTTTTGTTGAACCTGAGGCCAGATTATGATCTTTTGCTATGATTGCTAATGTTGGATATTCTCTCTGTCTGCTGAAAGTGTCAATAAAATAGATATTGTATATAAAATAAAATTAACGGCAGCCATTTTGACAGGCACAACAGAGCGTGTGCGTGTTCACTGTTGGTTTTTATACCTTCGGGTTCTCTTTGTGGCTCCTGCAGCAGCGCCCTCCTGTTGCTGCTGCTGTTTACGTTTGGCCCCTCTTCCTTTTCCTGGACCAGGGGCCAAAGCACCTTCAGAAACACAGGACAGATTATATAACATAAAGAAATGCGCGCAAGCGAACACACAGTCAGTGGCAAAGGCAATTTACACTTGTTAAATCTGGTGGTCATTCTGGAAACTGTAGTTTTTATTGTGTAATTACAAGGTGATTCTAATGTTTTGTCCACCCCATCTCTGCAAGTAGTAGAAGACTGATTATTTAAAAATCTTCTCACCTCTGACTTCCACCTTCAAGAGGGTGGGATTTATTAAAGAGCTGTTGCACTACCTGCACTCCAGAGGCTGACAGTGAATTCAGGGAGAGGACAGAGGACTAGATGTAAAAAGCCAGTCCATCATTTTAGACTCTTAGGCAACTTATTACAAGTTCAGTTCCACTTTACTGTCTTTGAAAACCGTCTTTTCATCATCTGTCACAACAAAAATGCCAAGACACACACACACACACACACACACACACACAGAAAGTGAAAGCAGGTTATTAGGCGTGGTGTAAACAACGAGGAAATAGCAGGCACAAAAAGACAGAAATTAGTTTGCGTGGCCTTTTCCAAACACCGTCAGCCTCTTACAGTACAACAGGTAGTATCCGCTTACCAGTAACTCAGAAAGCAAAGCGCCGGTTGAACAACAGCCAAGACGGAAACACAATTTCTCATATCTAAGAAAAGCAACGGACTGTAACTGCAGTGTCGAGTCGGCTAGTTCAGATATTTTTCTTGTGGAAAAGAAAGTTGTTCCACGTACATCTGGGACGGCCTGCAGTTATAGATCTAAAGGAGGAACTACTGACACGGCTGCCTTACTGTATATCTGCACATGGGGAGGATCAGTCATTTACAACATGTACATTTATATTTCAAAATGGGATTCCTGGTGATTTTTTAAATCCTTCAAAACCACAAAAAGGCGTCACAGCGAAGTCTCAGGAGACGTTTTGCACATCTCACGTCTAATATAGCGTAAAACTAATTAATAAAACATGTTAGGTTCTCCAGTCAGTGGACGCTGCACAGAGGCTGCTCACTGCTCCCTTGATGGATGGGTTAAATGCAGCGAATGGATTTAACTACATGTATGTGTACATGATCAATAAAGTTTACCTTCCTATAGCCCCGGCTTTTACTTGCTTCCATCACTGAACTCACGCTGCCTACCGATGGGACAGGCCTTTAATTCATTTCACCCAAAACTGTCGCTCAGTAAAGACGGGAAACGGGCTGCTATCAAACTGTTGATTTCAACCAGTATGAATATTACTTGTATGAATGTGAGGCTATAAGATAACATTAATTACAAGATCAGATCAACCATCAGAACCTAACTGGTCTGACGAAGTTTAAATATTTATATGCACGATCTGGCGGGCTTTAAAAAGTTTTATACATCCAAAGAACTTCTATAAAAACCAAACCAGGCTTCTAATTGAGACCTGTGTTTGTCAAAACCTGTAGCTACTATCGAAATAGAAATAGCGATTTGAAAGAACACGGTGACTAAAATGTTAATCATACAGCTCATCTGACCCGTTTCAAGCACGAGCACCATGCGTCTCCTGTTACGGTCCCACTCGCCAATCACAGCGGGCACAGGGCGTGTACATTTTACAAAAACAAACGAAAACTTGGGATAACGGCGTCGGCCAGACCAATACAGGCGTCGGCCGTGCCGCGGTTTTATCACACTGAAGTGTTTCGGCAGCGGAGCGTTTAGCCTACATGTTGTTAATGTGTCATTCTGTGTGCTTCAACTACAGATAACAGCTCTCTGCAGACTAACGTTGCATAGCCACAGGGAGCATTTCAGAATAAGAGCGTTTTGTCTGTCTGATTTTGCTTATTTGTTCAGTTGTCCTTTATTTTTGTGCTTCTGCCATGATTAAGTAGCTACGTAGTTAAATTGTTTCTTTTTTTGTCTGTTTTTACTGTGTTTGTTCTTGACGTACGGTGGGGAGTCTGCAAAGGGTGTTTTATTTTGAAAGTCGACCGGATTCTCTCTGCTGTTCTGTGTCTGACTTCCTGCCCGGTAAATCTGCTCTGTGCTGCTTGACGCGGCTTCTGTCAAAAACAGACCGGCAGTGAATATTGACCTTAAACTAAACTTCTGGCAGAAAAATAGCAATTAGATTTTTTTCCCTAGGCACACCAGGCCAGTACAAGGGAGGGTGTCTAACTGGGACTAGGTTTAATGGAAGTTTGACACAGGAGAGGGAAGGCAAGATGAGGCTAATTAGCACTGGATGAAAGCCGATGGCAAATCAAAAGTGGCCCTCTACTCTCACACATGTGGTGTTACGGAGGACAGACTGTGATTTCAGAGAGGACACTTTTTAAAAAAATTTTTTTAAAGGGATTTCAGAGCCCGTTAGCAGCCAAGCCAGAGATGACAAAGTCCACGGATCAAAGGGGGTAAAGGCGAGGGAGAGGAGGGGCACCAAACAGATGCAGAGAGCAGACAGGGAGGAAACAACTGCACGTGGATGAAGTTGCCCACAAGATGCTTATTGAGGATCAGTTTGGGGCAGACTGAAGTCAGATTGGAACATCAGGGCCAACTTCTATCCAGGGGGTTACACAAGACACAAAAACACACAGCTCATCAGCTCCAGATGCCAAAAATACCACATATTCACCTGAGAAAGTAGATCCACCTGGAACACAATGCACAAAATCGCCATGGTCATCACTTTTATCACGCTCTTATTCTCAGCGCTGGGGAGCTTATACAGGCCAGTCAACCCCCCCCCCCCCTTGCTAATACAGAATGTGAAATAACAATCTTTTAAAAGTAAATGTATATCGTCTTCATGTACAGCTGAGATTGTGTGTTATATCCTTACCATTCAGCCCACCGGCCGTGGGAGCAGCAGTGGTCTGTTTCTGTGTGTCATAGGAGGGTCCGATGTTTCCCAGGTCCTACAGAAGAGCGACAGCAACTGAGATTATACTTCACATGTACACAAACGTTCTTCGGTTCCTCCGGCAGAAGCCTTCTCTATGTGCGGCGTGAATACCTGGTCCAACAGGCCAAATTTGGGGTAGTCCTCCTCAGGGTCTTTACTGCCAGGGTCGGGGTGTTCCTTCACCAGGAAAACATCCCGCTCTTTACTCTGGAAAATAAACAAAAGTACTATTACTATTTACTAGCGCTAACGTTAATGAGCGATTAAACTACAGTCTTTGACTTATTCTAAATATATCTGCGAGCTGCTCGTCTCTAGTTACAGTTGGCGCGTCCGAAAGGATTAAACCAGCGCGGACTTGTGAATAAACGCGAGCTGTACAAGTACCTCACACGGCTTCCTGCTTAAAGTTCTCTAACGTTACTTTTTTCTTTTGACTGTGAAACGTTAGTGAGAAATCTCAAAGTTGCAGGTCCTCCTTGTAGACCGTCATTTATTCAACAGCAGCGTTTCCTCTGTGTCACTGTAACATAGAGGACGTGTTTTAGAGCCAGTTGGTGGTCAGGAAATGGTTTCTCGTGGCTTTGGAGAGAGTTAACAGTGCTGGTAAAAGGATAAACTAGATGTGAATATGCGACATAGTAGAAAGTAGTCATTGTGGCAGATTATATGTAAGGTAATAACTGCTGCATGACATATATATACATATATATATTTAATTATTTGCCTATGTAGGAGAGCCCTGTTTATCATTATCATCATAGCAATGACATTAGATATGATAGATGTTATTATTATTAGTAGCAGTAGTACTATATGGGTCATTTTTATAGTTTCTGTTTCGCTGGATCCCCCAGTACACTTCAAAGTTTATAAGTAGTAGTAGTACTCATATAATTTAATTAATTCAGACATTTGACCCCTTGATATATTCTGTTGTACTTTTATTTACTTTTAGTACTATTTATAACCATAACAAAGTTTATACTGCATTATGTCATGGTCTCAACATACCAACATTTTAGGGACAATCTTTGTTTATGTCATGTTTCTTAAAATAAGGGGAAAAACAATGTTAAAACAGATTTTAAATATCTCAAATACTGAAATCATTATCGGACTTAGAAATCCCACATGGGTCGGGCTCTAACTACTGGTGCCATATTGTTTTGATCCATGTGGGGGTTTCCTCCATAAAGTGGACTTTAAACTCAGGAAGGCAACTAGCTAGAAAGGGTGACACACAACACTGGCTGCCTCCACACGGACTGGGTTTCACATAAAGCAGCACCTTCTAAACTCTTTGTGTTTCTCCACTGTGCGCCACAACGTTACCATCGTCTTCACTATGTTGTTGGGCCAGGTGAGCTTCCCCGGTCTCTGACGCGTTGTCATGCACTCCCAGAACTTGTCAATGAACGGTATGATATCCTGCAGAGAGACATGAAGAGAGTGAAAAGTATTAACAACTTCGGTACATCAGGAGTTTCATAATCCCACCAGTTGTGTTTTGTTTTCATAAAGACAAACAACTGCTGTTGTGTTGAACTAGAGATTCACTGATCTGACTTTTCAGTCCAGATATCTGGGATTAAGGTACCGGCCGATGCAGAGATGCTTCCTAACTCAGAAAAACAAAATAGCTGGTTGCGTTATATTTTGCAGAGCTAAAACACTGGCGAGAAATACTTCCAAACTGCTGAGCCCTTGTTTCTGGCCGCCTCCATGCAACGTTAGCTCTTCTGGCATGCAAATGTTCGGGTCTAGCAGCGCACTGCTGATGCCTCGACCCCCTTGTCAACGAGAACCAGCTATGTGTGTCGGTATCAGATTGGTGCATCCCTAACTACGACACACATATGGATGTAATGCAACATTCATTTAAAATTCCAACTCATACCGACTTAAATAAAACATCAGTGCATCAGATCATGGTTGCAAATTTCTTAAATTTAGGTGCACATTTATTTTATTCTTTATTTTGTTCTTTTCCATTTACATGACGCTTGTAGTCATCAGGATCCTGATGAGTGTGTGAAAGTACGACCACATCACACTAAGGCTGGACAATAAAACAGCAACAATAATTGTTGCAATATATATATATTTTTTTCCAATAACATTATAACAAATGTTCAATAAATATTAAATAAATGTTTGATCTTTATTTTCTTGATGAAAAAGGACTGAAAAAAGCTTTTACTTAATTTTACTCATATTTTGTTGACTAAGATTTTTTCATAATTGTTTTGAATGTTCTGTTTGGCTTCAAGTGTTGCCCATAAAGAAGAGTTTAAACCACAATTAACCATCAGGTTTCTTCAACTTTCCCTCAGGAACAAAAATCAGCCTTTAAACTCAAAAGAAATAACGATTTGATTCTTACTGTGATAAATATCGATATCAGAAGATGTGAAACTTTTCATTGTGATAACAGCCCCTTTCTGCTAGTAATAAATACAAGGTCTCCCTCCTCACCCACCAGTGCATCTATGGAAATGTCCCCAAATCCTTGTCGTTGCTTTTAAAAGTTTTAAAAGGAAAGTGCATTACAAATAAAATGTATCTTGTATAGCAAGATGTCTGTGAAGATTCTCAGTCATCCAGGTCATAGTTATCCAACGAAGGTTAAAGTCAAGGGCAACTGGACTTGGTTGAAGATACTGGAAACTCATCACTTCCCAGGAAACTGAACAAATGTAACCTATTGGCCTCAGGTGAAGATACCAACGATGGTCGTTCAGTCTTGGCCACAGGTAGTCTTAACGACTGTAACGACGGTCGTCACAGCAACCAGGAACACTAACGAACCAGCGGTATCGATGACCCGGGATAACGACCCCACTGAGGTTAAATAGCTGAGTTTCCCTGCCAGTCAGTCAGAACTGAAGAAGTCCTTTGGATGAGGGACGAAACGTCTTCCAGTATCTTCAACCAAGTCCAGTTGCCCTTGATTTTAACCTTCGTTGGATGGATCATTGGATGTTTTCAAAATTAATATTCTGTAGGAACACACTGATTATTTAGGAATTTAATAATAGTAGGAACTGCATAAATCTGCTCTTTATGGTGGACAAATCTGGACTCAGTTTGTGATATCATCTTCACCAAACGTCAAGTTAAGTTTATTTGAAAAGCCCACAACAGCATCAACAAAAGTTTGCGCACCTTGTCTTTGGAGAACATTGTCTTTGGGTGCTCGTCTTGTGTTCTGGACCGCCATGTCAGGTTCGCCAGGGCTGTGAGACACATCTCCTTCAAGTCTAAAACACAAAACGTAACACTGGTTTGTGAAAGACTGAACACAATATATCAAAGTTTAAACCCACTGTTACGTTATTTTCAGGTCACCTACTTGCTTGTTTCCTGAGGAAGTATGTGTTGCCGCTGTGATGGCACACGTTGCAGTGAAACACATAATTAGTCATGAAGGGAAGACAGGTCCTGCAGGGAATGAGAAGGATAAAAGGTTGTATCATGAAAACTCTCAGTGAAGTCACATAACTGCTGATATTTTACTGCCCATCAAACAAAATGATGCACATACGCGGTGTCAATGGCAAACGTGTCTGCGGTGAACCACTTCATACACAAGGCACACTGCAGCTCCACGTCGCCCAGCTGCCTCCCGCTCTCCTCATCTCCGGATCCAGTCAGAGCATCAGCAGCCTCAGAGCCTTCACCAGCTGTTTCCTGCGAGAAAGAGACACCTCATCAAAACAGCTTGTGTGAATTATAACAAAGCAGCCGTGGACAGCGTGCAAACCAAGTCAGCTACACGGACAGTTAAAGGTTCAGTGTGTAAGTTGCGGTGGCATCTAGTGTTGAGGGTTGCGAATACCAACCAACGGCTGCTCTGCTCTGATCTAAATGATACGTGTGGTCCTGTATTTGTCCAAAATTCACTTTTCTTCTTACTACTAACAAACCAGACAACTACCACTTTCTTCTTTATAGTTATTCAACATAGTGACAAAACACACTCTGTAGAGCCGTTTGTCCATTTCGGCTACTGTAGAAACACGGCAGCGCAACATGTCAGAGGACCCGCAGTGTATGTAGAGGTACTAAAAACATAACGGTTCATTATGTAAGCTCTTCATACATCACCTAAAACATAGTTATGGATCTTATATTGCCGACGCTCCTAAATATTACACACAGACCTTTAATAGAAAACATCCAAAGTACAAACAAAGTCTTTTTAATATATATATATATATATATATAATGTCTTAACAAATGTTACCATCCCCTCTTTGCCGTTTGATGATTCAGTATCCATGCTGGTGGGTAGTTCACCAAATGCAGCATCTCTGAAAGGCAACGGAAAGATCAACACATATTCACCCAGCTTCATATCATATCATAAAAGGATTTGTGCAGTCAGAAATCAGAGAAACTGGACACGAAATATTTAAAAACACCGGTCCTATTAACCGGTTACTTGTACAAAGATGCATCTTTCAGTAACCATTAACAACAACTGTATAATCAGTGCACATTAGTTACCGGTTTTGTTTTTAAAAACGTCTCTTGTTCACCTGCCTCTTCGTTACTGTCTCTACTCATCAAGTGTCTGGCGTGAGGAGTTTATACGTGCGAGTGTCAGAGGGACAAATCACGTCCTCATAAAGCTCGCTGAACCTTATTAGTTTGCCAGTGACACTAAACTTTCAGCTCTTTTCTCTTTCCAAAGAGCAGCTAAGCTGTTAGCCTGCGAGCTAACGTTTCCCTCGGTGAGTCTGTGGCGCGCTAACGACAGCTAGCAAGGATGCTAACAGCATTTTAAAAACAAAGAGCGGATCTGTGGTTTATATACTGACAGATAATCGCAATCACGTCCGACACATCTGCAACAGTAACAAATACTCAGTATGAAGGAGTCTTACCCGTCTCCGGTCTCCGGTTCGGTTGTAGCAGCAGCGCCCAGCTCTCCTTCAGACGCCATCTTTCAAATCAATGAAAACACAGAAGTATCGCGAGATTCAGTTGGAGCATCAACTTCCGGTTTGCGCCGTGTTTCTGCTCAGCAGCGACGCCGCAGGTTAACTTGTGAACTGCATTCACAACAACAACAACAACAATAATAATAATAATGTCCTGATGAAAACAGACCCCTTTTTCCAGATAAAAAACGCCTAAAATAACAAACCCAAAATGAATCAGGAATAACTAGATGCATAATTCTGGTCTCCTTTGAAAAGTCAGAAGCTACGGAATATGAATCCATTGTGTATTAATATGTTTATTTTACTTTTACAGACTACATGGAGAAGCAATAAAGAAAAAATCTGATATTTTTATCCTCCCCTGGTAAAAAAAAAAAAGATATATTTTGATGCAATAAACCATCAAAACCATCCTGAGGAAGCTTTTAATGCAACTGAATATCTTCTAATACAACTAGAATGCAATTGTAACTGTAAATCTGATGAAAATAAACTAAAATACAATAGTTATACAACATTTTCAAATATACCAGGCAAATTTCCATATTTTGGCAATATTTATTGTTAAAATGCTGACTTTTATTGATAGATATCTTTAAAACACTTTTTCAGTCCATACAACCAATTTCCAAATGACAAAACATTGAAATATTGATAAAAACAGGAGTATTCATCAACATTCCTGTCACCAAAAACACTCCCATGTTTACAGGAACATCCCACAGTGATGGGGGGTATCAATCGATCCGGCTTGAGCCGACCTTTGCATGTCGATATATCTCCAACGGATCGGCCACAAAATGGCAAAAAACACCGCATGTTCTCAAGCAGGCATGTTTCCTCTCTGCAGAAAAAGACAACAGCAGGCAGGCAGCTTGCAGGTATTGCAATAATCAAGATGCCCCTGTCTTAGACTCGGAGCAACAACATCGGCGGGTTTCTGAGTTAAAACGGTGAAAAAAAAATCTTTAAATTAACAGATACCTATCCCATAAGCTGTTTCCAATTTCTCTTGTCCAGTTAATTAGAAATCACCTGAACATCCTCATCTTTCTTTTTTAAAACTGATAATATTTATATGGTTGATCAAAACATCAATAATAAACTAGGAGACCGACACCATGCAGTCTAACACATTTGGTGACCTGAAAAAATAAAGGCTGGTTTATCAGTGGTTTAATCTGTACTCCACTTTCCACATATCTTGTCCTGCTCTTTTGAAAAAAAGAGAAGAGATTCACTGTAAGATTATCACAAAGACACAGCCTGTTGGTAATTGTCCAAACTACATGTTTGCTTAAGATCCAATGCAGATAAAACTGTTTTCTTACTCAGGTCGCTTTTGCTTTGCAACTCTGGGTAGATTTAAAGACTTGGCAGCTTTCCCTGCACTGACATTCTCCTCTAACTGGGTGAACATCTTAAGAATTCACAAATACTCGTGTAGAATGGTGTTTTAAGAGATGTAGGCCTATTAACTCTAACTGCAGAGGTCAGTTCATCCTTTGTCAGCTCTGCAAATCAGCGATGTATTTAGTTAAAATAGCCTCAAAAATAGTCAACAGAAATCAGTAAATCCTAAGAGCTCAGATTGTTATGACCTGGCTCAAAAGGCCACAACAAAAGGGAGTCACACCATGGTAGAAGTTTAACAAATTATGTTTATTTAAACCAAAATGAACCAAAGTAAGGCTGGTGCCAAAGTAAAGTGTGTGTGTGGGTGCTGTGATGTGCAAGAAATAATAACTATCAACTAAACAACATGTCCAGAAACCGAGGAAAAGGTGGAACCTGTGGAGGGAAACAGATGGTAGCAAATTAGGAGAGAGGTCCGTCCTCAGCCCAGCAACAAAAGGCAATTAGCCCAGGTGCCAGAGTTACTGCAATCAGTCTCAGCTCTTCACCTGCAAGGGATAGAGATTGGCCACACCCACACATGACCCCACAGGGCGTCACATAACTGAGTACATTTACTTAAGTACTGTATTTAAGTATACTTCTGAGATATTTTCAGTATTTTTATTTAATGCTACTTTATATTTCTGTTCTTCTTCATTTCAGATGCAAATATTGCACTTTCCCCCTTCATTTATTTGACAGTTTTCAGATTAAGATTTTACAAAGAAGCGTGTGATCAGTTTATAATTATAAAACATAATAGCTCTCACTTGGATCTGCTGGTAAATCTTACTATACTGATGTTCCTCAAATGTAAGTCGCTTTGAATAAAAGCATCTGCCAAATGAGTAACTGTAAAATATGATGCTGTGTTTTAGATTTAACTTCCCAAAAGAATACAAAGCATCTCCACCTCCAACCAGCTGCAACATTAAAGGTTACACTGCCTTTAATAAATAAATATTTCTCCCACTCCTAGATATCAGTATAATGTAATGTAAGCATGTTATTGGTCGAGAAACTGACATGTCGTTTAATTTAATTCTCTACAAAGTGACGTTGCTTTTATTTACTTTAAATGAATCTCTTTTTTTCCCAGTTGAATTATGATGAGGTGGAGATGAAGCTTGTGCTTTAGAGAAGATTATAATGTTTATGTGTAATGGTGGAAGCTGAGGTTTGCCTTGTGGGAGCTGGGTGTACTCGTAGTTTCCTCTCTGGATGATGGATTTGAGGTCGGCGTTTCTGCAGCCAGAAAGAGCAGCCGGTGGTTCTGGCTGAAACCTCACAACGTAGAAGAGTCCAAAGAATGAAAATCCATCTCAGATTAGGGTTGTGAAGATACACTTAGCTCAGGAGAAGTGTCGATGCACGGTATTGGGTTCATGAGAACAAGGCGAGAAGATATTTTAACACTAATTTGAATATTCAGTGTTGAAATATTTTAGTGGAGAGTCCTCCACAAGAAACATTTGAGCATGAAATACTTAATTTCCTGTATTCTGGAGAATTTTTCTGCACCAATTTACAGAGAAGATGTCTTTATTTAAATAGAGGGAAACAAAAAATTCAGCAGAACAGAATATAATGCAGTAATCAGCTGCTTGTTTTTTTTGGCTTGAGTTACTTTTTTGGACAATTTGTTTCTTCTTTATTTAAATTGCATTGCAGGTTTTCTTATTGTGCAAATAAAACTTTCTCAAAGCAAGTCTGGAGATCATAAAGGAAACATGAGGAAAAGACCTGCGTGGTGAAGCATCTGAAGTTTATTCTCACATGCTCTGTAAAGGTGTTGCACATGTTCTGCTATTCAAAAAGCAAACCCAAGAGTGATCATTGTTTATATTAACAGCACAGACAACGTTACTACAACACAGAGCAACACCAGAAGCACCTTTAGTACAGCAGGTAACTTCCACCTGGAAAGATTCAGGTTTCCTCTGAAGATTAAACCTTTTAGGAAACTTTGGTCCCCCTTTACTGCAGATCTGGAAAACCCATCAGACAACTCTTAAAGGATCCGTCTGGAGTAACTGAGCTTTCACTTAATTTGTGTTCTTTTCTTTAGATATTTGTCTGTTAAGTCAGATTGTTCAGTTACAGGTTTATGTTCTGTTGTAAAACATAAATTTAAACAAAAATCACAACATTTAAACTTTTTCATGCATTATTGTTGAATGTAAATTAAAGTTTGCCACCAAAGTTGCTTGAAAAAGTCACTAAAATTGCAAAAACATGCACCGATAAAGAGAGATTTATCTACAGTCTCGTCATGACGTTTAAATCCGCCATCAGGTTTTTGGATGTGCAAATGTCTTCCTCCCTAACTGCTTTAACCGGAACATTTCCATTAACTGTTTTAAGAGCGATATAAAAAGCTTTGTGATGACGTGAGACCACCCCACGTACGTCCTGAAAGTCAAACGTTATTTAATGGTTTGTGGGGCCGTTCCAGCACCAGTAAAGACACGTCGAGCACAAAGGCAAGTGTGCCGGCAGACGTCTCACAAAGGAGCCCGGGAATGCTGAGGGCACCCCTGGGTGTCGCAATAAATGCCTTTGAGCCGTTGAAAGGAAGATAATAGTTGTGTTTTCTCCTCCTCTTTCCCTTGCAATGGGGACACATCTGTGGCGTTTGGGATGTTATGAATAGGTGAAGGAATGAGGAATCTTTGTTTCTGACCTGATGTAACTTTGTTTAGTTATTTTTCTTTGAGGTTGTGGGGATTGTTCCAGTTTAGAGGTGAGACTTGGTCTCATTCTTTTCCAGTCCACCTCCCTTCTCTTCTTGATAAAAAATCTCGTTGCATCGCAAATATTTTTCCTATTTATTTTCATTTATATTCTGTGACATCTGTTGTTTAATATCTTAAAAATTCAATTATTAGCCCGGGCTTTTATTGGCTTCAATCACTGAACTCACTCTGCCTATATTTGCGACAGGCCTTTAATTTCTTTCGCACAAAACTGCTGCTCTGCAAAGACGGGCTTTCTATCAAAGTGTTTATTTCAACCAGTATGAATATTACATGTATAGAAATGATCATTTAGAGAGAGGGAGGGACTGCCGTAGAGAAGATGAAAGAAGAGGGTTACCATGAAAAAAACATTTTGATTATTTTGATGGGTGGACCCTAAAATAATATAAATGATAGGAGACATGTGTTCAGACTTAATGACCACTTCAAAGGAGGTGAGTCACCACTTTTTTCTTCTCTTTTGTTTAACTTGATGTTAGATCTGAATGAATAACACTTTGGTGCTCAATGTTTCCGTAAAATAACCCAAACCATTGAATAGTGGAGAATCTAACTGATGTACAATGTGAAGCATGCCCATACTGACAAAAGTTTAAACAGTTTAAAGCAACAAAAGCTTTTATACACCCAGAGAACTTCTATAAAACCAGACCGGGCTTCTAATTGAGACCTGCGATTATTTGTCAAAACGTGTAGCCACAGCAGGCCAGTAAGAGGGACAGGCGTCTAACTGGGAGTAGGCTTATTCTTTAAATCAGTTCTTACGTGTGTAAATGGTTGCATCTGGCTTTCAGACCCTTCATTTTGTCCCCATCAGGGCTGGGATTACCAGAACATCCTGCTAAAGATGTACTGGATATACTGTCTGCTTTGGTATCATCTGAGTCGCAGTGCAGAGTTTGTCACCAGATAACTGTGATATTTTCAAGTACTGCAGGACTTAAGTACACTTCTGGTACAATTTTCTGCTTCTTTATACTTCTATTAACCTACGATTCACTACTTTGCCTGGCCGTCACTTGTTGTTTTGCAGATTCACATTTTACCCACAAAACATGCAGCTTGTAAAATACTGTATGATGCGCTGTAAAAAACTTCAACATCATCAGTAATAAAAATCTGTATAACACTATGAAATGCATGGAACGATGCTTTAGCTGTAACGCTGCTTCAGGATTCCTGGAGACTCATTTAGAGACTTCCTCAGGAGTGTTTTCTGTCTGTCTTCTTCTGTTCACACCTACTTACATTTTCTGTCTTCATCATTTCTTCATCCCCTCATCCTTCTCTGCCCCAAGGTCTATCCACTTCCCCTTGTCCTGCAGAACAAAGCCCAGGGTCAGAGAGGGTCAAGCCTACTGGTGACATCTGCTAATTGTCCTGATGAGCCGGCCTCTCTTGTCCCCTCAATACCAGTTGCTCTGTAGGTGTCTGTAGCTGGGAGCACGCTGGCAGCTGCCACCTTCATGAGTTACCTCCACAGGATCATTTACCCCGCGACTCTGAACCCCCTGTGGACCCTCCTTTACGTCCTGAGGAATGGTCTCTCTGGGTATAACCAATAATGTGGATTTAAAGATGGGACTGTTACCTGAATTGTAAAGTTAATGAAGCAACTAGAGGGAGATTAATCTGCAGACACAGCCAGTTAAACATAAAGAGGCAGTGATGGAAAGTATTAACTCAAACACTGTACTTAAGTACATTTTGGTGTTCCACTTTTTTGTTACTTTAGACTTCTACTTTACTACATTTCAGAAGGAAAGGTTGTACTTTTTACTTCTCCACATTTATTTAACCGCCGTAGAAGTTACTTTACAGATTAAGATTTGACATAATCTCACGGACTGGCGGCTTCCCACATTTTTGACTTGTGACCACTCAAAGCAACACGTCCTTAAACTTAACGACAGAAATGGTCGAGTGTCATGTGTCCCAAAATGAAAAGCGTTGGCAAGTACCAGTCCAGCGATGGGGGCACCGGCACTTTACATTATTTAAGTCATGTGATGTTTAACACGTGGTAAACGTACTGTCGTAGTTTGGTTAGGGTCAGGAAAACATCGTGGTTTGGGTGAAAATAAGTACATTAAGTAAGTCACATCATCTACAAAACGTCATTTAACTTAAAACACGGCGCCTTTGACTTTCTTTCACACATGACTCAAACCTCAGTCTTCTGAGTGAAAGTCATTACGTTATTTGACTCTTCCATCCACGCCACCACCACTTACATGGACTTTGTCGCTCTTTATACCACGTCACCTGACTTTTTCTGCCTCTAGAAGTCACAGCTTAATAATCTGCAGCCTAATCGAGGCCAGGCTGTTTTATTTCTTCTGTCCCATCAATCATCTCACGACCCCTCAGATTTATCTGGTGACCCTTTGGAGGGACCTCACCCCTAGGTTGGGAACCACTGTACTAAGCTAACTGTGTATAAGGTAATTAAAACTATTAATCTTTAAATAGCATGTACTTGTCTTGTGTCAATGACTAACTCGAGTTTCTTTGTTTCCCTTGAAGTTGTTTTAAGGTGGGGAAACTGATCTTCCACTCTGTCTGACAGTATATTAAATATATATCGTGGATATTCAGCACATCAACCCCGACATATTCTGTGTCTTTGAAAACTTTGGGATCTGCACTGCATTTCACAATAAAGAGCTGTGTGTTGGAGCAAAGCAGGAGTTTGTATTGACTGAGCCACCAATGGTACTGATTGAAGAGGAAACCATCACTCCACGGTCACATAAAGACAATAACTCGTTGCTTTTCAGGCGTCTTGGTTCTGAAATAACCAACAGAAATGTCTCACTGTGTTGCACTCTGTAGAGTTAATACCTAAAAAGTGAATGTGACATCTTCATAAAGGATCTAAAACAGCAGAACACAGCAAAAAATCCACTCATTTAAGAACCAAAGAATATTTTTGCATTTTTCTTAATGAATTAACAAATTTAGTTGACTTATTGTTTCAAAAACAGGACAAATTTGAGTAAAATGACTAACAGTGATAGAGAAACCTGGTTTTCCTGATATCTCCAGCAGGCATGAAGTGGCTGCTTTGCTCAGATCGCTTGCAGCTATAAAGTTGCTAGTGGGCTGCTAATTAAACCCAAGTGCTTTGTGGGGATGTTGCACTCAACAGGACAAATGGCGCTATGGAAACTGGGACACAAGGGAGAAAAGGCGCAAACTTTCCCTTTGATAAGTCCATCAATTAGCATCACAACCAGCGTTCACGTGTCCTACCAGCGTAAAATCTCACATTTGCAAATAATGACAAGCCAAACCACAATGAGGAACACGGTGGGAAAGAAAGGGGGCACATTTTAACCAGATGCCGAGCAATAAATAACCAACTCAGTGCCCCCCAGCTGAGAGCGGACATTTACATTTTGAAGTGCGCATCAGGGAGTCCCACGGGGCCGGAGCGTGTGTGCGCGTCCGCACGGGAAAGACTGAGGCTGCGATTGTTCCTACAATACGCGTCGCTTCATTTGGGTTGCTTTTTGAATGAAATGTAAATTTGCGAGCGTGTGCAGAGGCTGGATATATAAAGGCCGGAGCCGTCCGGGCACAGACACCGCTACCTGCGTCCTGCACGGTCCACAGCGAGCAGAAATGAAGCCAGTTGCAGTCAAGTTGCCTTTAACCCACAGGACGCCCTTCTCTGTGGAGGATATTTTGGACCCCACCAAGTTTACAAGAAGAAAAATCTGCGCAGTGGAGGCAGAGGCAACAGGTGAGGCTTAAACTCTTTGCGGTCTAAGAAACGATCTAGACCTGTTTGTGGATTCATAAATTGATTTATTCATAAATGTCTGTTCCCTTTCAGGAGCTTCTACTCCCAGAGAAGAACCCAGAGAGCAGGCGCATCCTCCGGCAGGTGAAAGCTGCAGCCAGGAGGATGACGCTCAGTGTCCGGGGAAGCCTCAGAGGTCGAAGGCAAAGAGTCGACGGATCCGCACCGCGTTCACCCTGGAGCAGCTGCAGATCTTGGAGCACAGCTTCCACAGGTGCCACTACCTGTCGGTGCTGGAGCGGCACACCATCGCCTCAGCGCTGCGCCTCTCCGAGACCCAGGTCAAGATCTGGTTTCAGAACAGACGCACCAAGTGGAAGAAGGAGCGGCTGCCGGGGAAGGAGGCAGAGGAGGAACACGGCTTCACACAGTCCTTCTCCTCGCATCCTGCCGTCTGCTCATCTCTGACCTTCAGTCCTCTCTACTGCCAGCAGCGCACTCCGCTCCAGCTGTTTGCGCCTCTGCCGCTGGTGCCTTATCATCATTATTAAACGTGGTGCGCAAACCTGCACTGAGGGACTGAGCGCGCGACGGAGCAACACGAGCAGCTCGAGACTATGGCACTAATATCACTAATCAGCAGAGCTGTGAAAGTGCCCAACAGGACTGAGTAGGAAAACGAAATGATAAATATTTTTTAATGTAATTATGCTATAACTTATTTTGATAAACACTTTTTATTGCAGATGTTTTTGTTTGTTCCTTTTTTCTTATACAGGCCTCTTATAGGCTACAGTATTTTTGATTTAACCCTCTACTTGCCCCAACGCAACAGAAGGGATGTTTGACTTCACACAAAATAACTTGCTGGAACAAGTACAGTCATACATCTAAAGAAACATAACACTTCATATTTAACTTTTACTTTCCTCAAGGTAATATTGTGCAGTTAGGCTCAATGGTGGTGGTGGATGTTTTGCACCTCACTAGTGAAAACTGGTGCATCTTATAGTCTAAAGGGCCACAAGGAATCTGATAGAGGGTCTTTTCCTGCTGATATGGGAGAAGGGGTCCCATAATTAGGTTTGAGAGGCAGATCTGTGGGTTTCACCACTCAAGTCAACACATTTTTGCTTCATTTAGATATTTCTTGAACTAAGAATTATCTATATTTGCCATTCATGATGTACTACGAATAGCATTGTGCAAACTGTTAAGGGTGAAAGAAACGAATAGGGGAGAAATTCATGTAGGGGGGGGCGGTTGTGGTTCCGGGGTTAGAGCGGGTTGCCTCCTAATCGGAAGATCGGCGGTTCAATCCCCGGGTCCTCCAGGCTGCATGTTGAAGCCTCCTTGGGTAAGATACTGAACCCAATATGCCCCTGATGGTGTGTGTTGACTTTGGTGTGAGTACTTAGGCTCACTGTGTGAATGTGTAACAATGCTTTGAGTGGTTGAAAGACTAGAAAGGCGCTACACATAAAGAAGAAACAAAATCAAATATGTAAATACAGAAGTATATGCACTAAAATGTAGATATAGGCCTACACACTATGTGCGATCAAATCCAGTCCCCCAAAAAACAATGTTTACCATGTTCATTATCTTAGTTTAGTGTGTTAGCATGCTAGCATTAACCAAAGTGTTGGACGCGTTAACATGTTGACCTGATGATGGCGCTAGATGAAAAGTCAGAGTCAAAGTCAAAGTTTTTTCAGTTCATGCTGAGGGGAACATGAAGGTCTGAACCACATTTCATCACAATCCGTCCAACAGCTGCTGAGACGTTTCAGTCTGGACCAAAGAAGAAGACAAAACGCCATCACCATAGAGCTACACAGCTGCATGGTAACTGACTTATTACACAGAGAAACAGGACCATATGCATCTTCTAAAACAACGTTTCATGTTTCACATGCTGCTTGTTCTCACCTAAAAGGTAACACAGTCAGATTTCACTTTAAAGTTATAAACTCCTTGAACCCTCTTTAGTGTTTCAGATCAGTTTAACTGGTTTCAGATGAAGGTCAGAGTGCGTGTGCGAGACATCCTGACTGGTAAACTCCATCCAACACCTTCTTGGCCAAGTTAGATTCATTCTATAAGTATTTCAAATTTATTTTCAAAGACGCAGCCCCCCTTAAAATAACTACTCTTTGCTTTAATCTGTCTTAGAAACACACACACACACACACACACACACACACACACACACACACACACACACACACACACACACACACACACACACACACACATCTGTGTGTGATTTAGCACATACTCTTCTCCTCAGATGTCAGGGGGTTCTGAACACAAGATGTCCATCCATTACTGCAAATGACACAAATCAGTGAAGTATTTGATATAAATCATTAAAAAAGCCACGTTAGACCTCAAAACAGTACGGCCATTTGAAAAGACAAAGAAACATCAGGAGAAGAAATAACTGATTTAGCACCGACTCCAGGTGGAGCAAATTCTGAAATTCCTTTTACCCAATGAATAAATATCTTTAATACATTTTTAAGAAGACGAAACATTTTATTATCGGCCGTTTTCTGGCAAGCTGGTTGGAGCGAAACTGATCTTAAGCTACTTCCATCAATGAGGTATTGGAAACAGATGGAAGAAAACAAAGTGCTTGGTGAAGATAAAGGAGGCTATTATTACACACACACACACTTTATGAGCGTGAGCAGGGAAATGAGTCAACCTGTAATGGAAACAAATGAAATATTTTCTGCGTGATAACATGACTGATATGTGCGAGCGCTCAGTGCCTCACAGCTGGTGTCAGTCTGCTCTGTGGACCGCGGTCATCACATGATGGGCCTGCTGGGATTCTCTGACACTGAACATTTGTAAAACCAAAGTCATTGTTGGTGACTTTGGTTTAAGTCACACTGAATCAACAACAGTGACTTTGGTTTTGTCCACATACTACGAGCGATGCTGTCGCCCATGTTGACTGCTAACTGGAGGGAAAATTGAAAAGTCAAGGAAGTCAGCGTCGATTCTGTCCAATGAAAATTTGTTGGAGGTGTGTGAAACTTGTCGGCACTGTTGGGAAGGTTACTTTGGAAATGTAATAAGTTACCAATTACAAGTTACCCTATTTAAAATGTAAATCGTAGTGTAGCTATTTCAATTACTTTATCAATGCAGAGTAACTTTTTTTTACATTTTGATTACTTTTCTAAATAATGAGTGTTTCTAAAGACAGCTAGAAGGCGGTTAAACTGGCAGATGAGTGGCGCTGCAAATTACAACATGAGAATCAATCAACAGCATCAGAACAGCGTCAAACGTTACTAAACAGCTGTGGCTGGAAACATCAGAGGAAAACATGGTGCACATGAAAAACATGCAAAGCAACTAAATGAACATTATTAACATATAAAAAAATCCAACAAAATTCAGATGTAACCCCCGATGTAATCATGAACATTTTCATTAGTAACTTTAAGGGATTACAGTTACATTTATTTTGTCACTAATTATTATTTACTAAGTGTTTATTTCTAATATGTGTAACACAGAAACAGAAAATGTAATAAAATAAACAACTCAAAATTATTAAAGAACATACTAATAAATAAGTTAATAATAATAATAATAATAATAGTTACAGCCAAAGAAATCTTGTCAATTTTTTTTACATATTCCAAAATCACTGGAAAGAAGGAAAAAAATGTAATCCCACCCTGTGTCCACAAATCAAATGCTTATAAATAATCTGCCTGCATTCCAAATTAATATTTACACATCAACTTTTTCATATCCAAAAGCATTTAAAAATGTACATCAGTTATATAAAAAAAAGAAAGGAGAAAAAAAAGGAACATAAGACAACACATAACAACAACACTGAAAATAAACTGAAAACACTCATTGATTGTTCCTCCTTATTCATCCCTGTAACTCGTGAAACCACATCCTTACACCCAATTTTAAACTGATTTATGTTTGGACGTTGCTTTAGTTCCACACTGAGACTCTCCCACAGCCTTTCTGCAGAGTTTCCTTACTGAGACTTTTCCTGGTTGTTTTGAAATTGTGTTTCCCCCTTAAATTATAACCTCTCTCTATTTACATTACTCTCCAACACTGCACGTCGTTTAGCCTGTTCAGTGACGCACGGAGCAGGTGGGGAATCCGATCCAATCTGATGTTCGCTTGCTCGCTCCTTCACATCACGTCCTGATTGGGAACAGCAGGTGTACAGTAATCCTTACACATGGAAGTGGCTCTGTGAGGCTGCACAGAGGTCCCTTTATCTACATGCCAATGTCAGCATGCTCACATGCTCTCAATGACAACGCTAACGTGCTGATGTCAATAAATCATCAGGTCAAAATTTGAATCTGTCCAAAAACCTGCCCGGTCCAGATATCTCCTAACCTATTGGATGGCCATCTGCTGGTTCACTAGTGAATCACATTAAAGCCTGTTGCAAAGAACCTTGGTGTTTGGTTTGATAGTAATTTAAATTTCGAGCAGCACACCACAAAGCTTGTTCAAAAATGTTTTTATCAACTTAGAAATATAGCAAAAATTCAATATATGTTAACTTTTAAGGACACCGAGACCATTTTACACGCCTTCATCTCATCACGCCTGGATTATTGCAACAGCCTTTTCACCTGTTTAACCCAAAAATCTATTGATCGACTCCAGACTGTCCAGAACTCAGCTGCCAGGCTTTTAACCAGAACAAAGAAATATGACCACATTACTCCTATTTTAGCTTCATTACACTGGCTCCCAGTATGTTTTAGAACTGACTTTAAAATTCTATTGATCACTTTTAAAGCTCTTCATGGCCTCTCGCCTTGTTATATTTCTGACCTTTTAGTCCCATACACACCAGCACGTACCTTGAGATCCTCGGGCAGAGGTCTGTTGTCTGTTCCAGAGTCTCGACTGAAAACTAAAGGGGACAGAGCGTTTGCTGTCAGGGCCCCGAGGCTCTGGAACAGCCTGCCCGAGGAAATCAGGTCGGCTGAGTCAGTGAACTCTTTTAAGTCCCTTCTTAAAACATACTTTTATAGGAGAGCTTTTCCCGATCTTATTTGACTTTATTTTATCCCTTTTATTTTATTGTATTTTATGTATATTTTATATTTATTTTAAACGTGTATTTTAGTCTCTTTGTGTGTTTTATTGTTTTTACACTTGTTAAAGCACTTTGTAACTTGTTTCTGAAAAATGACAAGTGGTGGACATGAAAACTTAACTAAGATGTTGAACATGGTAAACATTGTACCTGCTAAACATAGTAGCAGCACGTTTGATGACTTTAATTGTCTTATTGTGTAATTAATCTCAGTCGATGATCTGCTGAAGGCGAGACGACCAGACGCACAGGATGTCCTCTGCTGACTTTATAACGTGACTCCGTTCACACAGGAGGAAATAATACTTCACTCCTCACATCTGGCAACAAATGTGACCCATCAGTGACCGAGACTGGACCGAAATTTAAAAGTGTTGTGTAATTATGACTTCATCTGGATATTAGTTTATATTATTTCTCAAGACAGTTAAATCCACTCAGATTATTTAAAAGCCCAGGAACAAACAAAGTGATTTAAGGGCTAATAGCCATGAAGCATGATTTTCAGGATTTTGGAGAGTCTGCTCTGGGAAGGCGGTCCAGTCAGGACAGGTTATGTTGCAGAGGGACATCAGACCAGGCGGATCCTTCACAATTACCTTACGTTTGACTACATGCTGGACAAATC